AAGGGCTGCCATGAGAGATGTAACATTGAATAGCTTCCGCCACCATGAAAGTGCGTAGCATTACAGTAACCAGTTTTGTAACCAAATTGAAAGCCAGAGGGGGTGTAGAAAGTCAAATGCTTCATTTATAATAATGTATTATGTTGAGGGACAGGCAGCCTATGTATATAAATACTGTACATTAGTAGGTGATGAGTCACAATAACGTGGCTGAAGTATGTTGACCAATCCACACTAGAAAATGAAGGGCAGCTAGTTACAGAGAAAGTGCTATTTCAAGAGCTACATATTTACAGTAAGTCACCATACATTAATGGTAGGCCTTATCGCTAATACATAATAGTTTGACCAATGGGGATATTACAGTCATACGGTAGCTTCTGTTTATTATTAGTCCTCACAATACACTACTTGTTTCTGAATCTCATATGTCGTTCATCTACTGGAAGCAAAATGTGGATACAGTGCAAGGATTTCAGGTAAGTTATCCATGGTAATAAGATAGGTTGCCATGGACGACGTTTCGGTCCGTTCTGGACCATTCTCAAGTCGATTGTCAAGACAATGGACTTGAGAATGGTCCAGGACGGACCGAAATGTCGTCGTCGTCCCTTCACCTTCTAGTGTGTGGTCTGGTCAACAATGACTAGTTTTTGAAAGAGGACACAAATGCTCAGGAATTTTTTGTAATGGAGATTTGCCATCTGTAATAAATGTTCAGAAATATTTGTTACAGTTGGTAATGTACCACAAAAGAAAGCCTTAATGACATAAGCATACCATTTTATAACATTTAAGGTTATCAGAGTAGATGTTAAACGGATCCGAGACATTTTAGTACATTTCAGCTTTCTCAACCATTCCTGGCCTACAGTGTGGGAGTGTTATATACACTAGATGTATAAAACTAGTATATATATATATATGTATATATACTAGTATATGTTTATATACTAGTGTTATATAAATACAAAATGAACTTACTCACTTACAGCTGTTTTAAGATTACATTCAGTTGTATCTGAAGGAGGAGGCCTGGTCGACGACTGGGCCGCGGGTACACTAAGCCCCGGAAGCAACTCAAGGTAGCCTCAAGGTATCACTCCTCTACATTGCACTGTTGCACTTTATTGAGGTTACATTTCAAACTGCTACATGTAAGCAAGTAATCATCAAAAGAAGGCACCAAACCGGGAAGGCTATGTAACTTCTACATGTAACACAAGGCCCAGATTGTAATCTTGTGTAATCCTTGAGAAACACTGTGCGTGGTAGTGACTTTGCATGAATGTACACATACCACTCTTGTGTAACCTCACCAACCCATTGTACCTTCTTGTGAATAAAATTATTATTATTATTATTATTATTATTATTATTATTATTATGGGACTCATCATCCCTCCCCGTCTTTTTTTTATCTCTTTCATCAAATATTAATAAAACTTTTCTGGAAAAGCTTTTAGTAACTTAATTGAGACATACTGTATTATTGAACAAAATGGAATGATAATTTGATACAAACCTCATAAATAAAACAGCCTGAGGCCATTATGGTAAAAATATGCTTCAGATACAAAAAGTTGTCTATCAGTATTTTAAAGTCGACAAGGCATTATGTATTCACCTAGTTGCGCTTGTGGGGGTTGAGCTCCGACTCTTTCGGCCCGCCTCTCAACTGTCAATTAATCAACGTATTTTTTTGTTTCACACACACACACACCCACAGGAAGCAGCCTGTAACAGCTGTCTAACTCCCATGTACCTATTTACTGCTAGGTAACAGGGGCATCAGGGTGAAAGAAACTGCCCAATTGTTTCTACCATCGCCGGGGATTGATCCCCGGTCCACAGGACTATGATTCCCGAGTGCTGTCCACTCAGCCATCAGGCGCCCTGGTGGCTCTTTGCTACTGTTAATTTACTCAGGTACGTCTGTGATGACAATTGCATTACAAGCTAAGCCTTCATTTAGCTTTAAGTACAGTATTACCCCATTAAATATGTCTCCTAATTGTTTTTTGTTATGTCTGAAATGTTCTGCATATTAGTGACTTTATATAACATACTTTTCTTAGCTACAAATTAAGTAGAATTGGGTTATCTTGAGATGATTTCTGGTCTTAGCGTCCCCGCGGCCTGGTCCTCGACCAGGCTTTCTTTTTGTTACACACCCCCAGGAAGCAGCCCGTGCAGTTGCACTCCCAGGTACCTATTTGCTGCTAGGTAACAGGGGCATCAGGGTGAAAGAAACATTTTCCCCATTTGTCTCCGCCTCCACCGGGGATCGAACCCGGGACCTCAGAACTACGAATCCGAAGCGCTGTCCACCCAGCTGTCAGGCGCTCAGCTGTGGGTGCTGCCAATTTCCCGTTTAGGTTGGTTGGACTACAATTAAAGCAGTGGGGCCTCAATTTACGATGGTAATCCGTTCCCAGAGACATATTGTAAGTAAATATCGTAAGTCGAAATGATTTTTCCCATAAGAAATAAAGGGAATTGAATTATCAGTTCCACACACCCCAAAAATTATTAACTTAAAAATACATTTTATACTGAATACAATTTTTTTCTCTAACTACAATACAGTACACATGTTTATCTTACCTTTATGGAGGACCCTTGATGGCGTATGGAAGATGGTGAGGAGGGGGGAGGAGGAGGGGGGAGGAGGAGGGGGGAGGAGGAGGAGGGGGGAGGAGGAGGGGGGAGGAGGAGGGGGGAGGAGGAGGGGGGAGGAGGAGGGGGGAGGAGGAGGGGGGAGGAGGAGGGGGGAGGAGGAGAGGTGTTACTGTTCAGGAGGGGAGTCCCCTTCCATTATAACATCAGGCAGTGATGACTTCTCTGGGGTACTCTCTCTCCTACCTTTTACCTGCATACCACTAGGACCTGGTTGTGATTCACTGTTTGTCTCACTAAAAACCTTCCCATAGATTTTTGTTTTTCCATACATTTTAATTTTTGTCTGTAGTGAGGCATCACTGTGTCATTAAAAAGGTTAAGGCAACGGCCTACTGAAACGTGATTTGGGCGAGTCATTTCAGCTAAAGTTTGCAATTCTTCCCCATGCTGTACACATTTTCTTAATTAATGCAGAAGGGACATTCTGTACTGCCTCCTCCTCCTCCCCTGAAGAAATTTCCTCAGCTGTCTCTTGTTGCTGCTCCTTGTGAAGTTCTTCGGTGGTCAGTTCTTCGCTGTGTTCCTCCACCAGCTCGCAACACACAATACTCACAACACTATGAATGCCACTTTTTCTAAATTTCTCAAACCACCTTCTGCTCACCTTAAAGAACTCGATAAAATAGTTTTCACAACTAAGAAAAATGACAGGTTGAATAACAAGAACCATTCAAACAATGGATGCCATACCAATGATGATAATTTTCGAAGACACTATTGCTTTCTAGAGTGGAATATTGTTCCACACTAACAACCCCATTCAAAGCTGGAGAAATTGCTGACCTGGAGAGCGTGAAAAGATCCTTTACTGCTAGAACCCACTCTATAAAACATCTAAATTATTAGGACTGATTAAAAGTTGCAATCTGTTTTCTCTACAGCAATGGAGAGAGAGAGAGATACTATCACACAATTACCCTGCATATCATGGCAAGTGCTACTTCCCTACCGCCTTCGTACTATCTTAGTTACAGCGAAAATTCTCCATCAAGAATTGTGTATATAGTGTATATATGTTTTGCACCTACATCCTGACCGAGTGACATGGCCCTTCACCAACTATTCACTGCGTCATTAACCTGCCGGCTCAGAGTCACCGAAGCCGGTGGGACAGGATGTGACGTTGCCAGGACAGGTATCTATACCATTGACCAGTGCGGCCTCACCAGGTTACTCCCGGTGCTCACAGGGTGAAGGCATCATTCCCTCTGCTTCAAAGAGTCTTGGCATCGTAGTAAAATAAGTGCTTACGTAGCCTTAAGTTTATTCGTATTTGTACATACAGTACTTTGTTCAATAATTCAGAGTAACTCATGTTTCTTTTATTATAATTATATGTGAGTGTAAAAGCTAAGTTGTAGGTTTAATATTGAAGTACAGTACTTAAATTGCTTTTTTTTTTAATTAAATTAGTTATATCTTTCTTGACTGTTTACTTCAATGTTTGTCAATATTTCCACACTGCAAAGGTCAACTGCAGTATTTTTGTTTGTTGCCATCGTTATCACACATTTTCATGACAACTATGTTACATCTGGTGTAGCAAAATGTGCAGCTTGAAGCTCATTGGCTCTAGCCCACGTGCAGTCTCTCTCTCTCTCTCTCTGCTGTTGCAACGTGCAACTCATCATTGTTCATCCACGTCCAGTGCATATCTCTGCTGTCGTAACGTGCAGCAGTGGGTGGCCGTCATCCACGTCCAGTGCATATCTCTGCTGTCATAACGTGCAGCAGTGGGTGGCCGTCATCCACGTCCAGTGCATATCTCTGCTGTCGTAACGTGCAGCAGTGGGTGGCCGGCATCCACGTCCAGTGCATATCTCTGCTGTCGTAACGTGCAGCAGTGGGTGGCCGGCATCCACGTCCAGTGCATATCTCTGCTGTCGTAACGTGCAGCAGTGGGTGGCCGGCATCCACGTCCAGTGCATATCTCTGCTGTCGTAACGTGCAGTAGTGGGTGGCCGGCATCCATGTCCAGTGCATATCTCTGCTGTCGTAACGTGCAGCAGTGGGTGGCCGGCATCCACGTCCAGTGCATATCTCTGCTGTCGTAACGTGCAGCAGTGGGTGGCCGGCATCCACGTCCAGTGCATATCTCTGCTGTCGTAACGTGCAGCAGTGGGTGGCCGGCATCCACCCACTGCACATCTCTCAGTTGTATTGCAGAGATCTGTATCCTGAATAATGTTAAGAGTATTTTGTTGTTCGCACACCAAGGCAAAACCAGTGCTCACTCGGGCAGTGTCAACCAGGAACAGTTTAGAAATCATTCATGACAATATGATCCATCTTCTGAACAGGAAGTAATAAAAGTTCTCTGGGAATGTGTTGGCTTTATTTCATAATTTTTTTTATACCATGGTGGAATTAATGTTGGCCATCAATATATCTTTAAAAACAATCATTGTGAACCCATGTATGAGAAAAAATCTCTAGCTTATTACAGTTCTTTTTATACCATATCAAAAATATTTCTTCCAAGTCAAACATGTGAGCTATGCACAATGGCAAAGAATTAACCAATAAAATTAATGGTCACAAGGTGCAGAATGATGTGGGCAAAGATAAAATCGGCAAAACCTCGTTCAGCGGAGATTCCACGGAACTGCATTTTGTTTTGGGGATTTGCTTGTAATCTCAAACTCACTGTGGGGGAGGAAAAACAAATATTAGCGTAGTGTAAACTTCGCAACAGTAAATGAAACGAGCATTTATCAAAAGAAAGCGCTAAGCCAGTAAGACTGTATAGCACTGTGGGTTATAGAATATTCAAGACAACCCAACCCACACACATGAAAAAATAAGTGATGAAGTTTTGGTCCGTTCTGGACCAATATTAAGTCCCTCTCTGATTCTTTGATTTATCACAATTTGATGAGGGTTGAGGATGGACTAAAACCATCACCTTCATTTTTTCTCTCTCTCTTGCGCACGCGCATGTGCGTGTGTGTGAGCGCACGTGGGGGTTATTTGTTTCAGCCCCAGTATTGTGACTTATTCTCTGATTATTTAAGAGGCGTTATACATCTTGCAGAATACCAGTATGAAAGCACACAGACAAATTATGTCACACGAGTCAGTGTGCGTGCTACCAAGGAACACACGAACATGTAAAGAACTATGGAGAAAGATAAATTTCTCTTTAACCACGAAATCAGAACGTTCTATGAGGATACTAACAGTGTAACAATGGAGCTCTAACTTTAACCTTACCAAACATTTTCCACTTCCTATTCCAGTGACAAGAGGAAGGGCATGGGAATAGGTCACATTTGATTGAATGCCATTTGTTATTCATAGCAGTCAATTGACACTCTCCAACAGATGCAAATTGCATTATGAATGACAGAGCGAAATCCCATCTCTTCTGCGATAACAGGACAGGCACGAATGGCTTCTTTATCAGTGGAATTTGCTATGCTACTGCAGGCAATGCCAATATGGCTGGGAACCCAGCAAAACTACACTGTATACCAGGCAAATGTGAGATACAACCAGCGTTGAATACCCACCACCAAAGAATGAGAAGGGATCACACAAAGCTGCAGTCAACATATGATGAGGATTTAATGAAATGTAGCAATCATATCATTCATTATGTTTTGTGTCAATGTTTAAATACCAATAAATTGTCATCCACACTTCCATGGAAATAAACATTCCAGTAACCTAGGCTGTAGGAGTCTCCTACTAATAACTTTCCTTATTAAGACTACTCATAGCCCAGTCGATAGAACTTCGATCTCAGACACGTGTGGGGTCCACGATTCAAGACTCCTACAGCCCAGGCGAATGGAATTTCAACACGGTACAATGTTTCCCATATTGTTCCAATAGCTCACTGGTGCACATCTCCTGTGGCAAATAAATACGACGAGCTCCCCATAGCCCGTGCTGCTTGGAACTTTCTGTTCCGAGTAGCTGAATCTATAACAACAGCAGCAGCTCAATGGTGGCTCCCAACAGCAACACTTGTGTAGTGTCAATGCCCTTGGCACTGGAAACCAACAAAACCAAGTCATCTACAAAAATATTTTATTTTATTTTACAAGACATCAAACCTTTACCTTTGCGCAAAACTATTTATGGGTTGTAACAATGGTGCAGTTCTAGAAAATAGCTCCAGTTGCTCTCCAACCAGCCTGTTCTCTCAATATGCTACTCCATCCAATTTAACCTATCAAGTCCAAGGCATAATAGATGCTAATATTTTTTTTCTAATACAATACTGTGTCACATTTCTCACTAACTGGTCAATTTCGTAAAGAAAAAAAACAAAGAGGCATCAAGCAAGAGAACGGGTTGCTCCACACACATTTAATAATCATGGTACAGTATTGCGGGGTATCAACTACCGCCCTATTCTTTCTTTCCTCAATTCCTCCATTATTTCCTATACTATTTTTGTGCTCTCCTGCTTACTCATTGTCTGTATCTACTTTACAATGTTTATGGAGGCAAATTCATCCCTTCTACAACTGTGGCAGCCACACAAGTACACTGGAATCTTGCCTGCTTTACCACATTGTGGAGACAGTCACTGCTTCTTATACCTAACTATATTTCATTAATTAATTCATTTTGTCAGGGACAGGCAACCTGTGTATGTACGTACATACATGCATGCTCACACACCCACATGGGTGCTAGGATAGAACTTGTAGAAGCTCGGGAATCTGTACACCAGTAGATTGATGTTTGAGAAACGGGACCAAGAGCCGAATCTCAACCCCCACAAGCGCAACTAGGCGAGCAGGAGCCTAGTTCAATCCTACAACCATGTCCCGGTACATACACACACACACACACATTCTTCCTACCCCCCCACCCCCTACAAAACAAATTATACTCTACATGCATCATTTACAAAGAGGCAAGAAACACTATTACAGTACACAATTACTGTACAATAATTGTTAATGTCATAAAATGAACTTTTAAGCAATTAATTTAATTATAAGCAATCAACTGTAGTACCTCGTGAAAGGTTAATTACTGTAATTGACAATAAAAGGAGAGGCAGGAAAGGAAAGGAAATTATCAGAAACCACTAAGCCAGTATGAGTAGACTGCTATGGTACTTGGAAGGGATACGAGGATGGAGTGAAGGAACGGTACATAACCACTTTAGTTGGCATAGGGAGCCGGTCGGCCGAGCAAACAGCACACTGGACTTGTGATCCTGTGGTCCTGGGTTCGATCCCAGGCGCCGGCGAGAAACAATGGGCAGAGTTTCTTTCACCCTATGCCCCTGTTACCTAGCAGTAAAATAGGTACCTGGGTGTTAGTCAGCTGTCACGGGCTGCTTCCTGGGGATGGAGGCCTGATCGAAGACCGGGCCGCGGGGACACTAAAGCCCCGAAATCATCTCAAGAATCTCAAGTCACCAGAGATCAAACGTCAACCCACCAAGAAGTGAGGATGTTGCTCTACCAGTCCAAGGAAATTGTAACGTTAATCAATGCCACATTTCATTTCCCATCCTCATTACAGTAACTGCAGCTAAAATAAACATTTACCCATTATGAATTTTGCTGAAGACTATTAAAAAGGGTTAACATACTGGGTAAAGAAACAACTTCCTAAAGAATGACTTACCACCAAGCACGAAGCATCCAATAGTACATATGAACCCCGAGAGGAAGGAGTTGAAGGGGAAAGTACCGACAAGGCAGCAGTACACGAACTGCAGAACACCGGTCATGAGCACGTACACCAAGTACGCATCAACTATCTTCAGCTTCTTGGGGGTGTTCTTCATGTATTCATCATAAAAGTTCTTGATTACCACACTCAGTGTAGTGGAAGACATGGCTCACAGCTGTAAACACAGAGTTGATTAAGCAATACACAAAATTTGGATTCCATATACATATTAATGCTTCACACTAATACTTTTTAAGACTTTGCACTTCACTGAATCCAACATATAACATTCCAAACCTGCTATTGTCGTCATCAACATTATAACAATCTTCCATGATGTGTTCAAGAAGTGTAATCACCAATACTGTGTTCTAACAAATATTACCTCTATCTTTCCTCTAATAAGACCACCAAGTTATCAACAGCATCAATTGACCACATTCAGACCTTGGCTCAATTACAGCACCTCTGTTTAAACGTAAACATCCTAAACTTTAAATTTTTGTGCAACCTTTGGAGAAGGAATCCATCCACAAAGAATAACACAGATTATGAGATAGATATACAGACAGCTTCTAAATTCAGCCACCCAGGAAACTGGACTAGCCAAAAGAAACTACATAAGCTTGCTCAAAACAAGGAATAATCCAAAGTGTTTCTACGCCTATGTAAAAAGTAAAATCAAAACAAAAAGACAGTAGGACCCTTAAAAGACGAGACCAAGTAAGTTACAGTAGACAAACGGACAACAAACACGCTGAATACTTAACATCAGTCTTCCCACTAGAGATATTGGACAACTTCCCAGTACCCGGTCGGGTACTGGGAAGGGAGGATACCCAGGGGAGCCGGTCGGCCGAGCGGACAGCACGCTGGACTTGTGGCCCTGGGTTCGATCCCAGGCGCCGGCGAGAAACAATGTGCAGAGTTTCTTTCACCCTATGCCCCCTGTTACCTAGCAGTAAAATAGGTACTTGGGTGTTAGTCAGCTGCCACGGGTTGCTTCCTGGGGGTGGAAGCCTGGTCGAGGACCGGGCCGCGGGGACATTAAAAAGCCCCGAAATCATCAAGATAACCTCAAGATATACCCACACATAAATGTTGGAAGAAGGGCAAGAGAATGTATTAAGGGGATATTCACATGTGTGATGTAATCTGGAAGAGCTTTGACGAGCTAAACGATTCAAGTGCGCCAGCTGAGGACTTTTAATTTGATCCAGAGTCAAAAAGGAACTGGCAGATGAACTATGTCTACCACTGAAATTCCATTTTGCAAAATCTCTGGATCAAAGGATAGTTCCCCCTAGATTGGAAACATGCAAATATGACCCCCCCCCCCACTATTTATAAAAAATACAAAAAAAAAATAGGGAGAGTGTTCAGCAGAAAACTACCATCCGATCGGCTTGACAGCGCATATCTGCAAGCTCATGGAGAGAATCCTAAAGGAATCATTCACTGTCTTATTAACTGGATCCTTGGTTAGTTCAGGTAGAGGCAATTTAGTACTATACATCAGTTTAGTGACATGAATGCTGGAGAGAACGGGGTGGCGTGTCGGTACATACTGTTCAACACACAACACCTTTGTATCAACTAGTCCAACAACACTAAATGCTCTTTAACTCGTCACTATCTCATTACTCAGCACCAGTTTCAAACATCATCACATTTCACTTTTAATATAGCCACCCCATTCAATCCATATTCAATCAAGCTCACTCACTCTTACACAATGGTGAGCACATGCACACACACACGTACACACGCACGCACTCACTCTTACACACAGATGAACACGTGCACACAAGACACGCACACTCAAAACTAATTTTCTTCCATCCATTTACACTATCAACATTAATGAACAATTCCATTACTACATAAAATCCAACCACATTAAAAAACCATAATCATTACAAACTCATCTTGGCTTAATATCCAAAAGTCCCCCACTGATTTCAGAATCCATTTTAGATCTTTAAACATTATATACTTTAGAATACTGGAATTTTAAATGGCATCCATATTTTCTATAAAATCACTCTTTACTATACACACTTGCCTGCGAAACAATTTAGACATGGCCAAGCACTAGACTCGTCTCGAGTTATTCTGCACTATAGTACAGTATATACAAAAGTTATACAAGTACAGTAATTTGGATACAAGACGTAATCCATAAAAGTGTGGGTAACAACAATGGGCGACCTTTGACAAGCCACCAGCTTCCTGTCCGCCATCAAGGTCACTAAAGATGGTGGCCCTTCGGTAAATTCGGGTAGCTTTAGTTTACTTGGATCATCTGATTCAAACTTGGGCATCAACATTACAAGACCAGTGTCCTACCAACCACACCATGGATACTCACTATACACAAGGGCCCCAACAGTACGAGACAGTGTCCTACCAACCACACCATGGATACTCACTATACGCAAGGGCCCCAACAGTACGAGACAGTGTCCTACCAACCACACCATGGATACTCACTATACGCAAGGGCCCCAACAGTACGAGACAGTGTCCTACCAACCACACCATGGATACTCACTATACGCAAGGGCCCCAACAGTACGAGACAGTGTCCTACCAACCACACCATGGATACTCACTATACGCAAGGGCCCCAACAGTACGAGACAGTGTCCTACCAACCACACCATGGATACTCACTATACGCAAGGCTCTCTTGGGCCCCAACAGTACGAGACCATCGTCCTACCAACCACACCATGGATACTCACTATACACAAGGCTCTCTCGGGCCCCAACAGTACGAGACCATCGTCCTACCAACCACACCATGGATACTCACTATACACAAGGCTCTCTTGGGCCCCAACAGTACAAGACCATCGTCCTACCAACCACACCATGGATACTCACTATACACAAGGCTCTCTCGGGCCCCAACAGTACGAGACCATCGTCCTACCAACCACACCATGGATACTCACTATACGCAAGGGCCCCAACAGTACGAGACCATCGTCCTGCCAACCACACCATGGATACTCACTACCAGGAATGATCTCAGAAATACCTTGAGCTTGGCTCTACTAACCAATTACTTGGGAGAGCACTCCAGTGACTTCCGTAAAAGATCTTTAATATTTCCCCGTCATGTCTTAGGTAATGTTCCAATAGTTTATCCAGTATGTTGCATTTCACAACTGTAACTATTTGAGTTAATATTGTACTGGCCTTCTCACCCCAAGTGAGCCGAGATTAAACAGGAAACCTCTCTTGTAGTTATAAAGTGCTAAACAAAATTATTAATTTTTTTTTTTTGAGATATATAGAAGAGTTGTTACATTCTTGTAGAGCCACTAGTACGCGTAGCGTTTCGGGCAGGTCCCTGGAATACGATCCCCTGCCGCGAAGAATCGTTGTTACAACCAAGTACACATTTTACTATTGCGTTAAACAGAGGCTACAGTTAAGGAATTGCGCCCAGTAAATCCTCCCCGGCCAGGATACGAACCCATGACTTAGCGCTCGCGGAAAGCCAGGCGAGTGTCTTACCACTACACCACGGAGACTAATCATGACACTACAATACCCTAAAACAAACGCATCATCTGGCACACGAGCAATAGAACACAGTGAACGTGTTACTTCCGGCCATAATTAACACCTACAACATAGCAAGCAAAACGAATGATTCAATGGATACACTACACAATATATAGTTACACTACACAATATATAGTTACACTACACAATACATAGTTACACTACACAATATATAGTTACACTACACAATATATAGTTACACTACACAATATATAGTTACATCACCCAAATTACTTTACACTGTTTTCAAAACGTTTGATTCTGAATCACGTAGAAGATAAATGTAAAAATTCCAATACTCGTTACAAAATTCCAGAGGGAAGGGGGGGGGTTAAGTCATAATTTAGCTTAATACTTTTTAAGAGTGACAAGAGATATCAGAAATTAACAGAACTAGGAACTTAATAATACAAATGTGGTTCTATTGAATAAGGCAAATTCATAACGATATCCCTTGGGGCCAGTGAACCTCAAGATAAGAATAGCCATGCCAAATCACCCCCGTCCCCCCACTGGCAGGCCCAATCCCCCCCCCTCCCCTACGGGCAACCAAATCCCCTATCTTGAGGTTATCTTGAGATGATTTCGGGGCTTTTTAGTGTCCCCGCGGCCCGGTCCTCGATCAGGCCTCCACCCCCAGGAAGCAGCCCGTGACAGCTGACTAACACTCAGGTACCTATTTTTACTGCTAGGTAACAGGGGCATAGGGCAAAAGAAACTCTGCCCATTGTTTCTCGCCGGCGCCTGGGATCGAACCCAGGACCACAGGATCACAAGTCCCGCGTGCTGTCCGCTCGGCCGACCGGCTCCCGAGCCGGTCGAGCCTACAGAGGAGGATAGAAAGAGAGGGTGGTTGTAAAGTGTGCGATCCTAAACAGTAGTGGAGGTGATGTCATGGTTTAGTTCTACCCATCGTGGCAGGTGTCATGGTTTAGTTCTACCCATCGTGGCAGGTATCATGGTTTAGTTCTACCCATCGTGGCAGGTGTCATGGTTTAGTTCTACCCATCGTGGCAGGTGTCATGGTTTAGTTCTACCCATCGTGGCAGGTGTCATGGTTTAGTTCTACCCATCGTGGCAGGTGTCATGGTTTAGTTCTACCCATCGCGGCAGGTGTCATGGTTTAGTTCTACCCATCGTGGCAGGTGTCATGGTTTAGTTCTACCCATCGTGGCAGGTGTCATGGTTTAGTTCTACCCATCGTGGCAGGTGTCATGGTTTAGTTCTACCCATCGTGGCAGGTGGTAACAAATTTGTAGGTGTCCGATACCGATGATTTTGCCCCATTTATTACCTAATTCTGTGCACGAGTATTTCCTGAATTTCCTTCCGCTCTTTTGCTTTTCCAGCTTTTTCCCTTTGTTCTCCTGTCCTATTTTCTCTCAATCTGAAGCTGTGCTTGTCAACCTTATTTATTCCTCTCAGTATATTGTATGTTGTGATCATGTCCTACATGTTTCTTCCATCCTGTAGGGTTGCAAAATTTAATTTCCTTAATCTATTTTCAGAGCTTAACCCCCTCTTAGTCCTGGTAGTAATCTTGTGGCAAACCAAGTAATGGTGGTGGTGGTAGTTACCTTACCTCGTGGTGATTCCGAGGATCAACGTCCCCGTGGCCCAGTCTCTGACTGGGCCTCCTGAGTCTGGTCAACCAGGCTGTTGGTTGCAACTGTTCACAACCTGACATATGAATCACAGCCTGGTTGATCAGGAGTGCTTGGAGGTGTTCAATGAGTTCTCTCTTGAGTACCATGATGGTGGTGATTGTGGTGGTGGGTGCAGTGGTTATGGTGGTTGTAGTGGTTGTGGTGATGGCTGTAGTCTCGTTTGAGATGGATATGGCTTTGGAGCTCTTTATAAATTATTATTATTACTATTATTACACAGAGAAATCACATTAACGTGACGTATCAACGAACAAATCCACACGAGCCTTGATGTGGGTCCGAACCTCTGCACTGGGTGCTCCCAGGGGCGCTCTAGTCCACTGTACCTGGAACTTATCACTGTTAAACATCATGCTCTCTTCTGCTGCCCAGTCAAAAACTATTAATATCTGCTTGTGTCTACAACAGAATAATGATAATGTGGTTATTATTAGAGCTTGGTGCAGAACATACTGTTCACTTGTGATTACTGACAGTAGCTTAAATTGCCTTGCTTGAAGTGATACTGTATACGTACAGTATACTCAATACGTATATGTATACTCAACTATGGCATATATCAGGCTCTTGTACTTATACCACAGGTCATTCATCCAAGATGTGGTTGTGTTTGTAGACGCCAACACTGCTCTTTTTCCTCATCTCCTCTCGCAGGCCAAACAGCTTCAGCCAATTTGTTAGTAGTATCCAAACAGTCTCTCAGATATCACTAGGAACCAAATTGTCGTCTTAACCTTCAGCGAGTCTCTGCTCATGTGCGTACCAGAAGGGATGACCTTAGGATGCAGCAGCGGCAGCAGCTAATACACATTTAATTCTTTTAATTTCTAAACATCTTTAGCAATGCTCCTTCTATTCTAGACCAACATGAAAACCTGCCACCTATCAAGAAAGCTTCTTTTGCTCTTTGACAGTCAAAATTAAGCCCTTAACTTCAGATATTAAGGATGGCAAACTGGTGCATCTCCCAACCCAATAATTTTGTAACTAGCTCATCAAGATTGTAACTTGCTAGCTAAATGAATTGTGGGGTTCAGTCCCTGAGCCCATTATGTGCCTCTGTAGCCCTTTCCACTACCACCCACAAGATGGGTATGGGGTGCATAATAAATGAACTAAACTAAACCAACCCACGGGCCCGTCATAACACCCGGATACTCCATATTAGTCTTCCACGTTTACGTATAGGTCATACAAATCTCCCTACCCATCATTTCTGTCTTCAGATGAATGATTCTTCTGCTTGCTAGTGGTTATCTTGAGATGATTTCGGGGCTTTAGTGTCCCCGCGGCCCGGTCCTCGACCAGGCCTCCACCCCCCCAAGCCGGACCCGGCCCACCCCCCCCAAGCCCGACCCGGCCCACCCCCCCAAGCCCGACCCGGCCCCACCCCCCCAAGCCCGACCCGGCCCCACCCCCCCAAGCCCGACCTGTTATACTCAAGTTCGGCCTTGTTCGGCCCCACCCCCCCAAGCCCGACCCGGCCCCCCCCCCCAAGCCCGACCCGGCCCCCCCCCCAAGCCGGACCCGGCCCCACCCCCCCAAGCCGGACCCGGCCCCACCCCCCCAAGCCGGACCCGGCCCACCCCCCCAAGCCGGACCCGGCCCACCCCCCCAAGCCGGACCCGGCCCACCCCCCCCAAGCCGGACCCGGCCCACCCCCCCCAAGCCGGACCCGGCCCACCCCCCCCAAGCCGGACCCGGCCCACCCCCCCCAAGCCGGACCCGGCCCACCCCCCCAAGCCAGACCCGGCCCACCCCCCCAAGCCAGACCCGGCCCACCCCCCCCAAGCCGGACCCAGCCCACCCCCCCCAAGCCGGACCCGGCCCACCCCAAGCTGACCCAACCCACCCCAATGACATATACGGTTCTGACAGAGAGAACCATCACTATAAACCCAAATAAACCACTCAAAAGTGGACGTTTTACCCGTGCCGCCACGGAGCTGCGGCCGTGGCTGCCGTGTACAGCCCGGCACTCACCGCCCCTCACCTGTAACGAAGCCAAAATTACGGAGAAAAACGCACCAGCTTCAACTTGAGACGTTTACAACCAGCCACGGCACGACGTGAGGTTCGTTAAGTCGAGGTTTACCAGCCAGGCCGACACGAGCATCAATATTGACCAATCGTAACCAGGGAACTCGAGGTTGGGACCAATCACGAGCCAGACCCACCAGTTCCCGGAGGTGCCTCCTCCCTCCGCTGGTGGCCGCTGATTGGCTGCTGATGTAAACATTGGCCTCCTTGGGGGTGGGGGAACGGGACTCCTGAAGAAGTCATTCATTCCGTATAAAAGTATATTCATATATCAATAATATTAATAATAATAATATAAATATTTATTTAAGAAAAGTACAAAATGAGATATAAGAAGAGTGTTGGGTGTCTTGGTAGAGGAGGTCTATACTAGGCCTAATACTCACTCCCTTTCCTCTATCATTCGGTAAAATAATGTTAAAAACACTTAAAATTAATCGAGATCAAAAGTTAAAAATGAATTGAAGTAGAACAATATAAACAAAAATAGCAATTATATGGTGAATGTTACAACAGAAATGTTAATGGAAGAACAGCTGGTAAAATTTTCAATAAATTCACTCCTTGACACACACAATATATTCATCCTGAGGTGTATAGCCTTACTCCTCTATGTATATACACATATACACGTGTCTGTACTTAGTATACTTTAGCATCTAACCAATTCTGGAATATACTCCAGTTCTGAAGGTGGGTAAACTTCAGTATGGAGTATTTTCTGAATATATATTTCTGTCCTTAAATCTAAATCAAAACATATCTTGATGTAAATTGGATATAATTGAGCTATTAAACATGTTAGTAAGCAGTGAAAGAGCCTTGTTATGTGTTGTAATTACCACAAACATTGAAATTTAAATTGAAATTGAAATTGAAATAAGTTTATTGAGGTAAAATACACACAAAGGGATGAGGTAGCTCAAGCTATTCTCACCCCGTTCAGTACAACGTGTTAATATATACATAGACACACATCACAAATAAACATATTACCAAACATTCTGAGAGGTAAACATATACATTTCCTCCTTCACAAGTAGTATGTTATCAGACGTACAAGCAAACATTGAAGATAACTATAATGTGCCTGAAACGCTGTGCGCATTAAGGTGACTTTAGGCATAGCATATGCAAACTCTATCTAAAAATCCAACCTTCTGTTTGTAACTCATCTTGTATATATGTACTTTGACCTGAATAAACATTCATTTATTGAAATTTAAATAAGTTTATTGAGGTAAAATACACACAAAGGGATGAGGTAGCTCAAGCTATTCTCACCCCGTTCAGTACATCGTGTTAATACATACATAGACACACATCACAAATAATAAACGTATTACCGAACATTCTGAGAGATAAACATATACATTTCCTACTAATTTATTGATTTATTGCTATGTATTAGTATAACGCGCAGGTGAGTATGACTTGTGGTTGTAACCGCTCGCCGCGGCCCATGTTACAGGGGGAGAGGCCGCTATGTTACAGTAACATTAGACTGTAACTGATGCTCCCAGCGGCCGGGGAGGATGGAGGCGGCGACGGAGGCACCGGAGGAGGCCAACCACCAGGGGCTGGAGTACCAGTGGAGCGTGGTGAGGCCCAGGAAGAAGAAGTACAAGTCTAGCCGGCCCTCCACCTCCCACATGGTCCACGACGCCATCAACAAGATCGGCTCAGAGGAGAAGGGCGCCTCCGTCCAGAAGATCAAGAAGTACATCTACGCCAACTACAAGGTGGACATTAAGAAGATCGACGTGTACATCAACCGCTACATCAAGAAGGCCATCAAGGACGGGGAACTGATCAACAGCACGAGGCTGAGGAGCGGCGCCATTGGCTTCTTTAAAATTGCGGCCAAGCCCAAGCCGGCCGAGCACAGGAGGTCAGGCGGGGCCGAGCACAGGAGGGTCAGGACCCCGGCCGAGGAGGGGAGAGGCGCCCCCGGCAGGCTCAGTGCCCTCCAGGACCCCAAGCAGGAGAAGGGTCCCCCGCCCTCCTCCTCCGTCACCGCCGTCATGGACCTCATAGATGAGGTCTCTCTCCAGCCCCTCACAACCTCTCAGTTTGTCACACCTTACAGGATGACCTACAGGCAGGTTAGCAGCCCCTCACAGTTTGTCTCACCTTACAGGATGACCTACAGGCAGGTTAGCAGCCCCTCACAGTTTGTCTCACCTTACAGGATGACCTACAGGCAGGTTAGCAGCCCCTCACAGTTTGTCTCACCTTACAGGATGACCTACAGGCAGGTTAGCAGCCCCTCACAACATCATTCCGTGGTCTCTGCACCGTGCAACTGGTTGGCCACCATTCCTTCCCTCCGTCCAATCCTACATCAGTTTCATCATATTCCTTCTCAGTGATTTGTGGTCATAATGGCTTGGTACTTTCTCCTGATTATTACCTTAATTACCCCCCCCCCCATGTTCTCTACAGATTAGACATCTTGTTAAGGTTATCTTGAGATGATTTCGGGGCTTAGCGTCCCCCCCGGCCCGGTCCTCGACCAGGCCTCCACCCCTAGGAGCAGCCCGTGACAGCTGACTAACTCTCAGGTACCTATTTACTGCTAGGTGAACAGAGGCAACAGAGTGAAAGAAACTTGCCTATTTGTTTCCGCCTTCACTTGGGGATCGAACTGGGAACCTCAGGACTATATATCTCAAGCGCTGTCCACTCAGCCGTCGGGCCCCTGTACATCGGTACAGATGTTTCACCACTTGCAGAAGTGGAAAGACCGACTTCTTCCAACACCACCACAGCCATGCACCAGGCCTTGGTACCCTGGAATGGGCTTAACCACTGCACTGCGCACCTGGTTTTGGCAAAAACTTCTTGGTGCAATTGTCAAGGACATATTTTTGTTCTCCCTCACCACTCGCACTTGATACAGTTTCTGTACCAAGAAATTACTGTAACTACTTTACATGTTATGTATATTTTACAAATAAAATTATCGTTATCATTATCATCATTAGCTAATTCCTGTGCTCTAATTCCTAATGTACAGCAATATATTAAGCCGCTCCAGCACATCTGATTTTCCATTGTTCCAGCTTGTAAAGCATGAGCCAAAAATAAGCAAATGGGCACACAATATTGATTAAATTGTCATAAATGCATGACGTATACCTTCTTGAGGTTATCTTGAGATGATTTCGGGGCTTTAGTGTCCCCGCGGCCCGGTCCTCGACCAGGCCTCCACCCTCAGGAAGCAGCCCGTGACAGCTGACTTAACTCCCAGGTACCTATTTACTGCTAGGTAACAGGGGCATTCAGGGTGAAAGAAACTTTGCCCATTTGTTTCTGCCTCGTGCGGGAATCGAACCCGCGCCACAGAATTGCGAGTCCTGCGCGCTATCCACCAGGCTACGAGGCCCCCTTAAATTAAAAAGACCTTAAATATAAATAATTTCAGGAAGCTTTACCAGTACAGTAATCTGTGGTACAAAGTTGTATTATTATTACCAAACTTGTAATTTTAGATGAGGGGCAACTGACTCCATTTAGGACTACTGCCTAAACAATAGCATAATAAACTAGGAGCCGAGCGGACAGCACGCTGGACTTGTGATCCTGTGGTCCCGGGTTTGATCCCAGGCGCCGGCGAGAAACAATGGGCAGAGTTTCTTTCACCCTATGCCCCTGTTGCCTAGCAGTAAATAGGTACCTGGGTGTTAGTCAGCTGTCACGGGCTGCTTCCTGGGGGTGGAGGCCTGGTCGAGGACCGGGCTGCGGGGACACTAAAAGCCCCGAAATCATCTCAAGATAACCTCAAGAAATCTCCGGTAAAGGTCCAAGAGGTTTCACTTTCAAATATTACTAACATAATCCTTTCCTCCACATGAACTGAACAGTACTGGACAATTCCAGTTCTGTGCTGTCTTAATCTGTCTATAGTTAATTTACTTTGAATTAGAAATTCATAATCCTGTTTACTCTTTAATCCTTTCAATCATTCTAAAAAGGAAAGCGTTTACTGTACATAGTTGGGTAAATAAAGTTCGCTACTAATTGAACTGCTGCTTGAACCTCGTTCGTGAACCTCAAGTTCAAAAACCTCGTAATGTTCATTGTGCTTAGTGCTTCATTTCCACTTGGATGTGTTCAGTGGCACTACACATCCTTATCATACCTTTGAACTATACTTGAAGACTTATTTACATTTTCACAGGATTTATTGCCGTTATATAAAGCAAGCTTAGCGCAGCAGCTTCCCAAATACAGTTCAGTAATTGAGTACAGAGGAGGCCTGGTCGAGGACCGGGCCGCAGGGATGCTAAGCCCTGAAACCATCTCGAAGTAACCTCAAGGTAACAGTACCTGATGCAGACGAGGAGTCACAATAACGTGGCTGAAATATGTTGACCAGATCACACACTAGAAAGTGAAGGGACGACGGCATTTCGGTCCGTCCTGAACCAATCTCACGTCGATTGTGTACATCGACTGTACATTATAATTTTTTTTTTCAAAATTGCTGATAATTTTTTTCTTTTCTTTCAGAATGATGTGGAGAAGATATGGGACCTAGTTAGCTTACATGAAAGTGTGTCCATCATTATATTCAATTCAGACAGGAAGAAAATAGTCCTTGTGCGACAGTTCAGACCAGGTAAAGCATTAACTATCACTGTGACTACTAAATGTGGTTGTAACAACTCTTTAAGATATATTTACAGTATTTAAAATAAAGTGCAGTATAGTACTTTGACTATTATTCACATGATCAACCAAAATCTATGCTCCCTGATATTTAACATTATTCAAATGATCAACCAAAATCTATGTTCTCTGATATTTAACATTATTCACGTGATCAACCAAAATCTATGCTCCCTGATATTTAACATTATTCACGTGATCAACCAAAATCTATGCTCTCTGATATTTAACATTATTCACATGATCAACCAAAATCTATGCTCTCTGATATTTAACATTATTCACATGATCAACCAAAATCTATGCTCTCTGATATTTAACATCATTCACGTGATCAACCAAAATCTATGCTCTCTGATATTTAACATTATTCACGTGATCAACCAAAATCTATGCTCTCTGATATTTAACATTATTCACGTGATCAACCAAAATCTATGCTCTCTGATATTTAACATTATTCACATGATCAACCAAAATCTATGCTCTCTGATATTTAACATTATTCACATGATCAACCAAAATCTATGCTCTCTGATATTTAACATCATTCACGTGATCAACCAAAATCTATGCTCCCTGATATTTAACATTATTCACATGATCAACCAAAATCTATGCTCCCTGATATTTAACATTATTCACATGATCAACCAAAATCTATGTTCTCTGATATTTAACATTATTCACATGATCAACCAAAATCTATGCTCTCTGATATTTAACATTATTCACATGATCAACCAAAATCTATGCTCTCTGATATTTAACATTATTCACATGATCAACCAAAATCTATGCTCCCTGATATTTAACATCATTCACGTGATCAACCAAAATCTATGCTCACTGATTTTTAATATACTATCAAAAGTTTAGTCTCCCTTGCATCAATGCTCCACACCCACATTTAATATGTTACCTGCACTCTATAATGGTAGGAGATGGGTTGTTACTGTGAGCTAGCTAGGGAGCCGGTCGGCCGAGTGGACAGCACACTGGACTTGTGATCCTGTGGTCCCGGGTTCAATCCCCGGCACCGGCGAGAAACAATGGGCAGAGTTTCTTTCACCCTATGCCCCTGTTACTTAGCAGTAAAATCGGTACCTGGGTGTTAGTCAGCTGCCACGGGCTGCTTCCTGGGGGTGGAGGCCTGGTCGAGGACCGGGCCGTCGGGACACTAAAAAGCCCCTAAATCATCTCAAGATAAGCTCAAGATAGCATCCTAGTGCATGCTACATACCTCAACATTTCCTGAACTTGGTCTAAGGCCTATATTATAGCAACACAATGGTGGTTCTTGATTTGAATTTTCACGGAAGTAGCCATATTTAAGAACATAAGAATAAAGGTAACTGCAGAAGACCTATTGGCCCATACGAGGCAGCTCCTATTTATAACCACCAAATCCCACTCATATACATGTCCAACCCGCGCTTGAAACAATCAAGGGGACCCCACCTCCACCACGTTACTCGGTAATTGGTGCCATGTAATTACCCAAGTGTAATTACCAAAGTGCTGGAACATTATTTCAATGTGATGGCCATTTGAAATTGATGGTACCCATATTAAATATCTTGTTTCAGGTATGTAATAAGAACCCAGTTTGTAGGTGTAGACACACTGGGTCATATTATAAATATCCTAAATTAAACTGGCCATAAATTCATTCAGTGTAGCCAGTGATAATATTTGAGCGTGCCAGGTGCCAACTTCCCTTACTGCACGTGTCTGGGGAGACCCCAGGTTGTGGGTTCAATCGTGTCGTCCTGCTCTGGAGACTTCCTCGTATGCCACGTTTTTATGATTTCATTGTCTTGTGTGCTCCAATCATTATCAGTGATTACCACCTGTGCAGATGAAGAGAGAATACGTGGCTCAAAAATGTTGACCAAACCACACACTAGAAAGTGAAGAGACGACGACGTTTCAGTCCATCCTGGACCATTATCACAATCGACTTGATAATGGTCCAGGACGGACCGATACGTCGTCGTCCCTTCACCTTCTAGTGTGTGGTCTGGTCAATATTTATACCTGTGCTCACATCATATGTAATTTATCCTCTTGGGTGTTTAATACTTTTTCATGTTCACCTTTATGTAGGCCTTCACCTTAAAAAGTAACCAAATTTATTATATAAAGTATTGCACTGGACCTCTTTATGGTACATGCGGTTTGCACGAAGGTTTTGTCGTACCGACGACTGCACGAGCGGTAATGTTGGGAAATGCGTCACTACGCTTAAAAATGCCGAGGTTAAGAAATGTTTGTTTGACAGCCGTGTACTACAGTGGCATAGCACCGGAGGATCGTGGCAGGAGCACTGTGGATACAGTCAAGTATCCAGGGATAAGGGGCCTCACTCTGGAATTCTGTGCCGGTATTGTGGATAAAAGCAAAAATCTTGTGGAGATTGCCAGAGAAGAGGTGCTAGAGGAATGTGGTTATGATGTTCCCGTGGAGAAGTTTGAGCAAGTAATAACATACAGGTAAGTCTTACTCTTGTACAGCACCACATTTTTTCCTACAAAAGTTAATGATCAAAATCCTGCACGACCACTTTTGTGTTCATTGCTGAACTTTGGGCGACAGTTGACAGATTTGCCCACTAATTTATACTGTACTCAGTTTTTTTTATCTTCATTTACAATGCATTGCCATCATTACTTTTAGAAATATTTTGAACTTTGAGGGATAAGTAACATCAAAATATCCTTTTGAGAGTTGATGACCAAACCACACATAAGGTGATGGTTTCTCCATCTTCCGACGTGTAGTGTTGTCATCATATCTTCAGCTACGTTATTGTGACTCGTCATCTGCACATCCATTTGAGAGTTAATATTTGTATGTTTTCCTCTTCGGTGCATGTTCTCTGATCTGTTATGTCAACAATTCCCTATTCAGAGGCCTTATGACCAAGTTATAATTCTGTATTATAAACTTTTTCTGGGGCCATTTCCTGAGTATCTCATCATATTTGCTTGCTTCAGGTAAGCACAGCAACCATTCCTTGAGGTTATCTTGAGATGATTTCGGGGCTTTTTAGTGTCCCCGCGGCCCGGTCCTCGACCAGACCTCCACCCCCAGGAAGCAGCCCGTGAAGGCTGACTAACTCCCAGGTACCTATTTACTGCTAGGTAACAGGGGCATTCAGGGTGAAAGAAACTTTGCCCATTTGTTTTTGCCTCGTGCGGGAATCGAACCCGCGCCACAGAATTACGAGTCCTGCGCGCTATCCACCAGGCTACGAGGCCCCTGTACATTATTGCCAGCCCAGATGTCTTGCTTCTGGGGTGGTGGTGTTAGGGTGTCAAACTTCTCCAGGAGGCTGTCATAACCTAGACTTTACCTTGTATTACCCTTTTTCTTTCATATTGTTGTCTCTTATTATGTCATCCCTCTATTTTGGGTCATTCTGTGCCAAATGAGTGGACAGCGCTCGAGATTCAAAGTCCTAAGGTTTTGGGTTTGATCCCCGGTGGAGGCGGAAGCAAATGGGCAGGGTTTCTTTTGCCCTGGTGCACCTGTTCACCTAGCAGTAAATAGGTACCTGGGAGTTAGACAGCTGCTACAGGCTGCTTCCTGGGGATGTGTAACAAAAAAGAGGCCTGGTCGAGGACCGGGCTGAGGGGACGCCAAGCCCCGAAATCATCTCAAGATAACCTCGGGGTGGTAAGAGATCATGACATTTTGCCGTCGGTGATGCATGCATTCATACAGCAGGGTTGCTAATGTAGTAAACAAAAATCTAATACAGTGGCACCTCGACTTACGATAATTTCGAGTTACGATGTAAATTTGATAAAAAAATGCGACTCGACTTACAATAGTGTCGTCAACTAACGATATTTGTTTGTACACATTTGGGTCGAGCGAGCGCGTGATCCGCGGCCGCGGGCCGACCTGCCTCAGTTTACTAGAGCCGCCCGCTTAGTGACAATCACCTATAACAAATTCCGTTTTTGTGGTTATTTTTTTGCTTTTTGAACATCAATCTGATTATTATATATCATGTCACGGGTCCCAAGAAAGTCAGTGGTAAAGTTTAACCTAAGAAAATAGTTGAGTAGAGGCAGTAGAGGATGTCTCTTCCTCATTAAGAAAATATGTCAAGTATGGGAAGAACTGCAAAGCTTTGTTGAAAAAACTCACCCAGATGTAGCAGGCCGTTGCATTGACCTTTAAATGACAATGTGATGTGTCACTACAGACAAGTGTTAAAATGTAGGGAAAAACAAGTGTCTTTAGACAGATTCTTATAAAGTATAGAAATTTAACAATAGTGAGATACTGTAACGGGAACCGTAGCTGCAGGAAGAATGGCTTGTTACGATATTGAGTAATAAAAGTGGGTACTGCATCTATAGGGAGCCGGTCGGCCGAGCGGACAGCACACTGGACTTGTGATCCTGTGGTCCTGGGTTCGATCCTGGGTGCCGGCGAGAAGCAATGGGCAGAGTTTCTTTCACCCTATGCCCCTGTTACCTAGTAAGACAAGCAAGCAGTGAGTCACAAGAAGGTCCTAGTGGTATGCAGGCAAAATATCCCAGAGAGTGTATCCCAGAGAAGTCATCACTGCCTGATGTTATAATGGAAGGGGACTCCCCTTCCAAACAGTAACACCTCTCCTCCTCCCCCCTCATCACCATCTTCCATACGCCATCAAGAATCCGCTATAAAAGGCAAGATAAACATATGTACTGTATTGTAGTTAGAGAAAAAAATTGTATCAAGTATAAAATGTATTTGTAAGTTAATCGGTTCCCCACCCTCCAAAATATTAATTCAATTCCCTTTATTTCTTGAGGTAAAAATTGCGTCGACTTATGATATTTCGACTTATGATACGTCTCTGGGAACGGATTACTATGGTAAATCGAGGCCCCACTGTATACAGTACTGTGTTTGCTTGTTTACAAGCTCAACAAAAAAATTCATAACTTTGATCTATTTAAGGTATAACATGTTTGAAGTTAAGGCAACACTGTTGTCATTAAAAATATTTTGTTAAATATTTAATATTTTTGTTTCAAGATCACATGATGTGACCTTTAACCTTGAATATATAAAAATGTGTGCGTTAAAATTTTGGAAAAAAAAAATACATATTCCTCAGTTTACCCCAACAGTAAATCAAGAGATACAGCAAGAAGTGACAAATTTTGCTCTTGAGTTGTGGAATTCTCAAAAATACAATACTGTAGTGTAATATTGAAATGATCTGCAAAATACTGGAAAAAGTATAGAAATTTAACAATAGTGAGATACTGTAACGGGAACCGTAGCTGCAGGAAGAATGGCTTGTTACGATATTGAGTAATAAAAGTGGGTACTGCATCTATAGGGAGCCGGTCGGCCGAGCGGACAGCACACTGGACTTGTGATCCTGTGGTCCTGGGTTCGATCCTGGGCGCTGGCGAGAAACAATGGGCAGAGTTTCTTTCACCCTATGCCCCTGTTACCTAGCAGTAAAATAGGTACCTGGGTGTTAGTCAGCTGTCACGGGCTGCTTCCTTGGGGTGGGGGCCTGGTCGAGGACCGGGCCGCGGGGACACTAAAGCCTTGAAATCATCTCAAGATAACCTCACAATAACAGCAGAGGTCTCGCTTCTTGCAGGACTGAGTTCAATCCCTGATGGTCCAATTGGTTGGATACTACAAATCATAGTGCCTCACAAACAACAACATTTCCTGTGCATGGGGTGGATAGGGGTTACATTTGCATATTTTAGTACACCATTTTCTGCCTATTGTGGAAACTCGAGAGGATGTCTTGCATATTTACCCGAGGGTCATCACTATTGTCCCGTTACCTAATGACCTATTAGAATTGCCCTTGACGGGGGACAGGAAGCCAGGGCCTTTTATTCCTCACAACTTGAGCAAATGCTTGCTGGTGAGAGCATGCCACTTTGGGCTCATGTTACTTGTGCCAGTCATAATTAACTCGGCAAGTTGATATGTTCAAGGGTCGAGCATAAAATCATGTACATACTAGCCACTTGCTTGAGCATTCAATCTTGACTTGCACAGGATGGTTTTGACTTCATTTTCATCCTGCTCTTCCATTCATTTTATTAGTTTATACCACTGAAGTTATTGTAGTGTGCCTTATGGAGCTCCTTTATTTATGGGGATTTATTTACTCGTTCATTTAACTTCACTCGGATGATCTTCCTAGAAACTGAATGTTTGAAATAATTATTGTTTAAATTAGAGCTTTTTCTCTTTCTTATTAACCTGTACACTGCTTGAATTGCTGTCCGGGATTTTCTCCAGTGCTGAAAATGCCGAATGTGAATGATTATGACTTTTCAACACAGTTTTCCGTGCATACTTGGATGTGAGAGTAACTTAAATGTTTGACCCTTAACCCTTTAACTGCTAAGCTACTTAGCAGTTTAACCCTTAAACTGCTAAGGTACTTAGCAGTTTAAGGGTTAAACATTTAAGTGGCTTAGCAGTATAAGGGTTAAAAAATGTATGTTTATGTACTTGTGGGAAATTGAGCATGTGTAACATATGGCTCTGTGTCAACAGGTCGGGTGTGGGAGTGTCTGGTGATCGACAGACAATGTTTTATGTAGACGTGACCGACGCCATGAAAGTATCAGACGGTGAGTAATTACTTGTCTTATTTATCCATTTGTCAAGGTGTAACACTGTCATTTATTATATCTGATTTGTCTAATCAACCTCTAGTATTAAAATTGCAATTTTTTGCTGTAATTGAAAAGTAATCAATCAAAAAATTAATTGTAAAACTGCTGGTATCTGCCATGGAAAAAAAAATAAAAATTGTATTCCTTCTATTTATTCTGTTAAAATTACTATCTGCTGTTCTGTTTCATTTTCTGCAGTTTCATTCAGCGTGTAATTATTGTCAATTTTTATTTTTTTTTTCTACTCGAGTTCAATTTTTGCTTTTGATCTCTGTTAGTTTTAAGTCTTGGTGTTCAAGTTTATTTTTCCACATCTTTCCCGAAATGGTGTGCGTATCAGTAACTAGGCATGGTACAGTGTACACTTACTCTCTATAGGAATCCAACATTCTTCTTAAAACTACTTCTTGTATGTATGTACTTTCCCTAAATTATTATTATTATTAGTGGTAGTGGCTGTACAAGAATGTAAGAACTCTAGTATACAGGTATATAAATAAAAAGATTTTTATTCCAATTGAAAAGAACATAACCGGGCCAATTCATTCTGATCATCAGGAATATTTTGAGAGGTAGCCAAACAAGAAGATCAGTGAATTACTCAAAATGTACAATATCACCATAATATAACACAATGTATTACCACCGATTGTATCCATCGCTGAATGGTAAAGAATGCATGCACAGTACATGGTCGTTTCTACTGGTTAAAACTGCACCCCCTAGGCCTAGTAAGTAAAGATCAATTTGCCTTACAGCTGCAACAGTTGTGTGTGTATTCAAATATTTCTTTTGAAATCCGTTCTCCCTTAACATGCAATTTTGTTTATATTTGAACCCAAACCAGCTTAACAACCTAAGCTAAACGTTGCTAATGCTCCTCAATACTGCCTAATGCAAGTAGAACCAGCTATATGTATGTTAGTAATTCATGTAAGCAATGTCAATATTGTTAAACATACCTATCCACAAGTTAAATTCTAAGAAAAATTAAACGTCGAATATAAATTTGCCTTGTTAGACAATGCTGGTTCTTAGATAAAACATGTGTATATATATACATGTTTTATACCCCACATATACATGTTTATACCCCGGAACTCTCAGTTTCTGTGACGGCGCTGGAACCAATCGTATTGGCGTATGCCTTTCCATTGGAGACTTTCAGCGCCGTGGAGAGGGGGGACCTGCTGCCTGGGTAACAGCTTCTCCCCCGAATCAACCTACCCTGGCTTTGCGCCCTGGTGAGGCCACTCCAGACCGACAACCAGAGCGCAACTCCATAGTCTCCCGAGACTGATGGATGCCTACAACTATATATATACTATACGGTGTTCGTATATAAAAGAGTACCACCTCTGGCTGGAAGAGGGGGACCCTTAGCCTCGGAGGAAATCACACACAAATCACACGTTCTCACACGAAATCACACGTTTGTATATAATGTACATGCATGAAATAATTTTTGTTGTTTTTGCCCTTTACAGGAGGTGGCATAGCTGATGAAGGAGAGATGATAGAAGTAGTGGAGATGTCTATTACTGAACTTCGTGTATTCTTGAATCAGCCCGAGGTGAATTGCCCTGGAGGGCTCCTCTTTGGTTTAATGTGGTTTTTACAACACAAGGCTCCTAAAGACTAGCAAACGTGTTGACGTGATCCGCGCGACTTTCGGCACCTCTGATAAATGTATAAATGTGAAGTGTTTGTATACATTACATATTGTAAAACCTTTTGTTATTATATTTTAATATATTCTATTTTGTAATAAAAAAATTATAATTTTATGTAGTATTATATACTTTTAAGTAGATAAGTTCTTTGAAAGTCCCGTGGGTCTGAGGTTTTGATAGTTGAAATTTATTTACATTACAAAACAATGTAAGTGTGCAAATGTTTGGTTGGATACATATGGTTTTATTGGTAATAGTAACATACATAAATACAAGTGTGTAAATCATGGGCAGTTATAAGGGCAGACCTACAAGGTTTCATGGTATGCTGCATATTCTCTTCAAGTTCTAGGCACTTACTCAACCACAGAAAGAACCTCTTATATAAACGTGTGTTACCGCTCTTCACTCGAACCTTATTGTTATTACTAATATTACAGTATCAATTTTACTATTATCAATATTTGTATTTTGATTATATGGTATTCATTATCTCGTCATGTCTTATTATTAACATTAATTTAGAGTATTATGATGTTAATAATGATGATGTACTCGAGCTCTTTGTTTTGACACTGATGTGCTGTGAAATGTCAATTAAATCTGGTAAAGTGTGGTAAAATATTGTCAATTAGTATTAACCATTGTATAGATGTTGACCGCCTCTACCGATGACTTCATGGACCTGCCGTCATGTGGTGAACTTTCCATACCTCGTGTTATCTTTTGTTTAGTATTTTTTGTTTTTTAATTTGAACGTTTCATTTGTTGAATCTTCTTCCCAAAATTAATAAATATTAATCTATTTCAGAATTGTCTTCCTTGTAACACTCCAGAGCTTTACCAGTATAAATGATGTTCTTTACGCTTTGATACCATTGGTGAAATGTGGTGCATTTGTATTATTAATTGCCTGCATTATTAATTATGATCTAGCCACTGAATAATCATGAAGATGATAACTGCGTGGAGAATTAACCATAAATAATTGTTTTAGTAATACTGTAAGACAATGGTGATGAGACGGCACAAAGCCAGTATAACCATATACTGTAGCACTTAAAGGGATATGAGGATAACATGAAGGGGAAAGGAGAGATGATTTCCCGGTCTGCCGAGCGGACAACACACTGGACTTGTGGTCCTGGGCTTGATCTCGGGCGCTGGCGAGAAACAATGGGCAGAGTTTCTTTCACCTTATGCCCCTGTTACCTAGCAGTAAAATAGGTACCTGGGTGTTAGTCAGCTGTCACGGGCTGCTTCCTGGGGGTGGAGGGCCGCGGGGACACTAAAGCCCCGAAATCATCTCAAGATAACCTCAAGATAGGGAGTACCCTGTACATATAGGGTACATATGGACGAACAGGGTGCACAGTGGTAAAGAGTGCATGTGCTGGTAGTATTGGATGTAAAATAATTAACCAGAATAACATACAATTTATAAGGGGAAGAACAGATTTAGAAGCACAAGACAAAGCCGTCGACAAGATGTGATCCAACTGAGCGGGAGACTCGGGAGGAACACGGCAGATTATTACAGACTGTAATGAACATGTACACAACAGTGCTCGAGTACACCCACTTGGACTCATTGGCATAGCTGAGGCCTCGCTTCTTGCAGCTCAGTGTTCAATCCCCAGTGTTCCAATTATATATATATATATATATTATATGTGGAAAATTCACAGAGAATGGGAAAGACAGATGAACGTTACGGCCGATCAAAGCCGTCGTCAACACCAGACTGATGGTGACAACGGCTTTGATCGGTCGAAATGTTCATCTTCCTTTCCCATTTCTCTGTGGATTTTCTGCATACAAATGATCAGTGTTTCGTTATCGTCAATTGCATATTATTTATATATATATATATATATATATATATATATATGTCGTACCTAATAGCCAGAACGCACTTCTCAGCCTACTATTCAAGGCCCGATTTGCCTAATAAGCCAAGTTTTCATGAATTAATGTTTTTTCGTCTACCTAACCTACCTAACCTAACCTAACCTAGCTTTTTTTGGCTACCTAACCTAACCTTACCTATAAATATAGGTTAGGTTAGGTTAGGTAGGATTGCTTAGGTTCGGTCATATATCTACGTTAATTTTAACTCCAATAAAAAAAAATTGACCTCATACATAGAGAAATGGGTTGCTTTATCATTTCATAAGAAAAAAATTATAGTAAATATATTAATTCAGGAAAACTTGGCTTATTAGGCAAATCGGGCCTTGAATAGTAGGCTGAGAAGTGCGTTCTGGCTACTAGGTACGACATTATATATATATATTAGTATATTTTGTTAGCAGTCTTTCCTGTAGACATATATTATTAAATATGACCGAAAAAGTAAGATTAATGATTCTAACACGAATTTTCTCAATCTTTCGTACATTTCTTTTCACTGTTGGAGGTAAATCAAAAATCAATTCTCCAAAATTCATTTTTATTTCTAGTCTGACGCGACACGAGCGCGTTTCGTAAAACTTATTACATTTTCAAAGACTTTAGTTTACAAATACACAACTGAATAGAACTTACGCATCTCCGATTTTGTTTATATCTACATTTGAGTGAGGTGGCATTAATAGGGTATTAATTTCATCAACACAAGACAGAACAAGAGGTGGCATTAATAGGGTATTAATTTCATCAACACAAGACAGAACACGAAACAATGGGTATTGAATAGAAGTGATTGTAGAAAGCCTATTGGTCCATATTTCTTGATGCTTCTATATTGGAGCGGAGTCTTGAGGTGGGTAGAATATAGTTGGGCATTAATTGGCTGTTGATTGCTGGTGTTGACTTCTTGATGTGTAGTGCCTCGCAAACGTCAAGCCGCCTGCTATCGCTGTATCTATCGATGATTTCTGTGTTGTTTACTAGGATTTCTCTGGCGATGGTTTGGTTGTGGGAAGAGATTATATGTTCCTTAATGGAGCCCTGTTGCTTATGCATCGTTAAACGCCTAGAAAGAGATGTTGTTGTCTTGCCTATATACTGGGTTTTTTGGAGCTTACAGTCCCCAAGAGGGCATTTGAAGGCATAGACGACGTTAGTCTCTTTTAAAGCGTTCTGTTTTGTGTCTGGAGAGTTTCTCATGAGTAGGCTGGCCGTTTTTCTGGTTTTATAGTAAATCGTCAGTTGTATCCTCTGATTTTTGTCTGTAGGGATAACGTTTCTATTAACAATATCTTTCAGGACCCTTTCCTCCGTTTTATGAGCTGTGGAAAAGAAGTTCCTGTAAAATAGTCTAATAGGGGGTATAGGTGTTGTGTTAGTTGTCTCTTCAGAGGTTGCATGGCGTTTCACTTTCCTTATGATGTCTTCGACGAAACCATTGGAGAAGCCGTTGTTGACTAGGACCTGCCTTACCCTACAGAGTTCTTCGTCGACTTGCTTCCATTCTGAGCTGTGGCTGAGAGCACGGTCGACATATGCGTTAACAACACTCCTCTTGTACCTGTCTGGGCAGTCGCTGTTGGCATTTAGGCACATTCCTATGTTCGTTTCCTTAGTGTAGACTGCAGTGTGGAAACCTCCGCTCTTTTCCATGACTGTTACATCTAGAAAGGGCAGCTTCCCATCCTTTTCCATCTCGTAAGTGAAATGCAGTACGGAACTCTGCTCAAATGCCTCCTTCAGCTCCTGCAGATGTCTGACATCAGGTACCTGAGTAAAAATGTCGTCAACATACCTGCAGTATATGGCCGGTTTCAAGTTCATGTCGACTAAGACTTTTTGCTCGATGGGGCAAAAAGTCGAGAAACGGCATGAGAAACTCTCCAGACACAAAACAGAACGCTTTAAAAGAGACTAACGTCGTCTATGCCTTCAAATGCCCTCTTGGGGACTGTAAGCTCCAAAAAACCCAGTATATAGGCAAGACAACAACATCTCTTTCTAGGCGTTTAACGATGCATAAGCAACAGGGCTCCATTAAGGAACATATAATCTCTTCCCACAACCAAACCATCGCCAGAGAAATCCTAGTAAACAACACAGAAATCATCGATAGATACAGCGATAGCAGGCGGCTTGACGTTTGCGAGGCACTACACATCAAGAAGTCAACACCAGCAATCAACAGCCAATTAATGCCCAACTATATTCTACCCACCTCAAGACTCCGCTCCAATATAGAAGCATCAAGAAATATGGACCAATAGGCTTTCTACAATCACTTCTATTCAATACCCATTGTTTCGTGTTCTGTCTTGTGTTGATGAAATTAATACCCTATTAATGCCACCTCTTGTTCTGTCTTGTGTTGATGAAATTAATACCCTATTAATGCCACCTCACTCAAATGTAGATATAAACAAAATCGGAGATGCGTAAGTTCTATTCAGTTGTGTATTTGTAAACTAAAGTCTTTGAAAATGTAATAAGTTTTACGAAACGCGCTCGTGTCGCGTCAGACTAGAAATAAAAATGAATTTTGGAGAATTGATTTTTGATTTACCTCCAACAGTGAAAAGAAATGTACGAAAGATTGAGAAAATTCGTGTTAGAATCATTAATCTTACTTTTTCGGTCATATTTAATAATATATGTCTACAGGAAAGACTGCTAACAAAATATACTAATATATATATATATATATATATATATATATATATATATATATATATATATATATATATATATATATATATAAATAATATGCAATTGACGATAACGAAACACTGATCATTTGTATGCAGAAAATCCACAGAGAAATGGGAAAGGAAGATGAACATTTCGACCGATCAAAGCCGTTGTCACCATCAGTCTGGTGTTGACGACGGCTTTGATCGGCCGTAACGTTCATCTGTCTTTCCCATTCTCTGTGAATTTTCCACATATAATATATATATATATATATATAATTGGAACACTGGGGATTGAACACTGAGCTGCAAGAAGCGAGGCCTCAGCTATGCCAATGAGTCCAAGTGGGTGTACTCGAGCACTGTTGTGTACATGTTCATTACAGTCTGTAATAATCTGCCGTGTTCCTCCTGAGTCTCCCGCTCAGTTGGATCACATCTTGTCGACGGCTTTGTCTTGTGCTTCTAAATCTGTTCTTCCCCTTTTAAATTGTATGTTATTCTGGTTAATTATTTTACATCCAATACTACCAGCACATGCACTCTTTACCACTGTGCACCCTGTTCGTCCATATGTACCCTATATGTACAGGGTACTCCCTATCTTGAGGTTATCTTGAGATGATTTCGGGGC